TTGGAGGTGCTGGAGCTGGGGGTGCTATGTCTGGCGGTACTGGTGCTTGAGGCACTGTGCGGCCACGACCATGCTTCGTTCCCCTACTGCAGCATGTTCTTGGGCTCCCGTCTTCTACTGGCCTTACTCCTCCCTTACTGTGTCCACTGCCTGACCAGTCACAGCCGCCGTTAGAGCTAGCCTCCCCACTGCCTGCTCCTTCTCCTTACATTGAGCAGACTGGAGGTCTTACAGAGCGTCGTGAGCCTGAGTCTCGTCCTGCCTCGCCTGTTCGCGCTACTTGCACTGGTCATAGGGTTCCTCGTCCGCGTCCTCCTCCTGTCCCCGGCACCCACACTATGGCACTTCGTCCTTCCTCTGTTCCACTGCGTGTTCCTCTGCCGCCTCTTCCTCAGTCCTCTCTTCCTGCCGTCCCTGACCCTCATTCTTACCGTGCTCGTGCTGCCAGTCCTACTGTCTCTCGTCTTCTCGCCACTGTTCTCACTGACCCTTCTTTTGAGTCCACTGCTGCGTCTGCCCTTCTTGCTGAGCTAGTTGACTTTGCTGCTGCCTGTCGTCTAGACTACGCCACTGCTCTTGTTGCTGAGTCTGAGTCTGCCAGTCCTCCGTCCGTCGGAGGTGAGTGTGCTCTTGGCACGGACGTCCTTGAGGACACGCAGGAGGACCTTGAGTGTCTTGCAGTTGCTGTACCTCGTTTTGCTTCCATGCTGCTTGCCCCTGAGGGAGACCCGGATGCACCGGACATCCCGACCCCGCGCTCTTACGCAGAGGCGATTACGGGTCCTTACTCCTCTCAGTTGCAGGTAGCCATGGATGCCGAGATGGCATCCTGGAAGTCCACAGGCACCTATGTCGACGCAGTTCCCCTGTCTAGGGCGAAGATAGTCGATGGCATGTGGATTTTCAGGGTGAAGCGGCCGCCGGGTTCTCCGCCTGCCTTCAAGGCGCGTTACGTTTCTCAAGGCTTCAGTCAGCGACAGGGGGTCGACTACTTCCAGACCTTCTCCCCCACCCCGAAAATTACCACTCTTCGGATACTGCTGCACGTCGCTGCTCAGCGTGACTACGAGTTGCACTCTTTGGACTTCATTACAGCTTTCTTGCAGGGCAGCCTGCACGAGGAGATCTGGCTGCGCCGCCCATCTGGCTTCATTGGGTCGTTTCCTGCAGGTACCCAGTGGAGCCTCCGGCGGCCAGTCTACGGTCTCCGCTAGGCGCCTCGCGAGTGGCACGACACACTGAGGACTACACTTGCAGCTCTGTGGTTTACTCCTTCTACTGCTGACCCGTCGCTATTTCTACGCACCGACACGTCGCTGCCGCCATTCTACGTCCTCGTGTATGTCGACGACCTGGTCTTTGCCATTGCTGACACCGAGGCACTGACCCTTGTGAAGTCGGAGCTGCAGAAGAGACACACCTGCACTGACCTGGGTGAACTGCGCAGCTATCTTGGCTTGCAGATCACCCGGGACAAAGCACGGTGCACCATCACCCTGACTCAGCACACATGGTGCACCAGGTCCTTCAGCACTTCGGCTTCCAGTTCTCCTCGCCACAGCCCACTCCTCTGTCTACCAGCCACTCACTCTCAGCTCCACCTTCGGACGAGTCCGTAGAGCCGAGTGGTCCGTACCCAGAGCTTGTGGGTTGCCTCATGTACCTGATGACGTGCACACGGCCTGACCTCGCGTACCCTCTCGGCCTCCTGGATCGCTACGTGGCTCCCGGCATGCACCGAAAGGTGCACTGGGATTCTGCGAAGCGGGTACTCCGTTACTTGTGCAGTACGTCGGGCATGGGGCTAGTGCTTGGAGGACGGGGTCCAGTTGTTCTCACTGGTCACGCAGACGCTTCTTGGGTTGACGACTTGGCTACGCAGCGGTCGTCACAGTGTTACACCTTCAGGCTCGGTTCCGGCTCTGTTTCTTGCAGTCTACCCGGTCGTCTTCGGTTCTCAGTTCTAGTTGTGCGGCTGAGATCTACGCTATGGCCATGGCTGCATAGGAGCTACGCTGGCTCACCTACCTGCTGACTGACTTGGGAGAGCAGCCTCGTTCGCCTCCAGTTCTGTACGTAGACAACAAGGCCATGATTGCCTTGTGTCAGGAGCATAGACTGGAGCACAGAACGAAGCACATCGCTCTGCGATACTTCCTTTCTTGAGAGTTGCAGCAGCGTGGTCAGCTTCGTCTTGCGTACGTGGCCACTAGGGCCAACAGTGCTGATATATTCACCAAGGCACTTCCGCTTTGTGATCATCAGCGCTTCTCTACTGTTTAAGGCCTTGTGCCTACATTGCCTCACTTGCTCACTGCTTGACTTTGCTTGTACTGTGATCTATATATATACCTGCATGCTTACTCTTGCTAGGCTATGATCACTGTACTGTTTGTGCTGTTTATATAACACTGCATGTCAACTGGCCTTGTGGCCCTTTGCTTGTGCTCGGACTGTGTGGTGACTTTACGATCCACCCTGAGCTTGTTTTGCTTTTCTTTATTGGTCTTGTGACCATTTGTTCTCCCCCACTTTGCCTATGGGGGTGTGTCAGAATGTTATATTGCTTACTTTGTGTAGGCTATTGTGGGGTAGCCCATTAGGGGTACAACCCAATTAGGGTTAGTACTTGTACCTAACTTCTGTTCAATGTATCCATTCTCGTTCGTTAGTTTGACAGGAAGGCCGCTTCGGTATTTGCGTGATTGACGGAAATCACGCTCCGACAGATTTCGAGAATGAAGGGGGGGGGGGGGGGGGGGGGGGGGGGGCGGTTGCCCTGTACGCCCTTAAGGGTAATCTTCGCTAAGGGAAAATTTACCCGAGAGCATCAGTGTGGCCTAAATCGCTTCACTCTCAAATCAGTGTAACACTAATCCCCAAAAAAATTACCCAAACACATCAGTGCAAGCCCAAAAAAACACCCTTCTCATCAGTATAGCAGTGTGATTTACTCTGATAAATTAGGTCCTGGGTCTGTGGCAGTTGGCGCGCTCACGGATTTGATCGTGTTGGATGGGAATCTGTTGGACGGCATATGCGTATTGAATGATCCTAATAACCTTAAGTTGATCATGAAGGAAGGGAACGTTTGTGAAAGGGATATATAATAACGGAGACTTTCCAGTTTTGCATCTATTTTCATGTATTTCTTGTGAAATTCTCAGCTTTGTTGGCCTTAAATACAGCGTAACATTTTGCTAGTCAAGGCGAAGGGCTTGCCGAAATTTCATGTCGTCAGTTACCAGTTTCGGTGTCAGCGTCCTCCTGCCGGCGTCCATCGTGAGCGCCACCTAGAAGTCAGTTCCTGTGTTCAAGCGACGTGCCTGTCCACGTCATCCGTTTGTGCATCGTGGTCACGTTTGTTCAATGTTTCACTCGAGTCGCGCAATCTTGAGGAACACCTGGACGTGGCTCGAAAACGGGCACGACCATTGGTTGTGGAGCCCTTACCCCTAACACGAACGACACCCCCCCTGACCCACCATGTCCGCCTCTGGTCTTCTGGGAGTTGTGATTTGGAATTGACATTCCCTCTGCCGTCCTTTTGAAGACAGGTGAGACATGCACATCGTGCAACAGACAGAGGTCCAGCAGATAGAGCGTACAGCCTCCAGTAGAAAAAATTCACTATCAGACCGCCACGTCCTCGCGTATATTCTTCGTATTGCGCATTTCAGGAAGTAAAGACTGCAATATCAGCACCCGCGAGGAAACCGATAAGCAGTCGATGAACTGCCTCGATTTCTTTTAACCTAGGAGCTTCTGCTACTCTGATCGACCTGTAGTTGTTGGTGAGCCTCGGATGGAATACCGCCATAAGGGAAATCACTTAAACTCTCGTAGCGCCACTGACTGCTTCTCACCGACTGATATTCAACCAAGGATATCAATAGAGAACTGTGCGACCATGAGGTAGTTTCGTCTCCGTTGTTCGACAATATAGGTCCAGACTTGTCGTTCTTCCAGTCGGGCGAGGTCCCAGTCGCGTATTACTACTAGTTGCAATGCCTGCGCTAGTCGGGCACAGCGCGTGCACGGCTAGACGAAACGGGCATCTTGTCGCAGCTTCAGTAGCCTTTCGCAGACCGTCGCGAAACGATTGTAGAGCGTCGCACGTTGCGCTTCTGCCAAGCTACCTCGTTTGCCTTGTGGTGCTGCTAATAAGCGGCACGACGGCGCGCGCAGCACTAACGACCGCACTTGCCATCACCAACGATCCTGGCGCGCAACAAGAGCCAGTAGACACACGGACACAATCGGCCCCAAGCACAGGCAGAGGCCCAGAACGGGAACACGCAGCGAAAGAACGCCTGGAGCCGGATGATTCATTACAAGTCAACCCCGACTCGATAGTAGCCGCAATCTATCCATCCCCGCCACAGCCCAGCAACGAGGATGATCACCAGCAGAGCGCAAACAGCCGCCGAAAATCATTGGAACGTTCGCGCTATCACCAGCACAGACACACGCCTTCTGTTTCGTTCGCTTCGTTATCCACCAAGCGATCTTTCAACCAAGCTGCCCTTTACATAGTATACCTTAACTCCGCCCCCTCGGTTCTGACGTATCGCGGCGGCATAGCTGGTTTAAGAGCCACCGCTACCAGTATAGAGACCGACGATGACGATAACGATGACGGTGACAGCGACGGCGGCGGTGACAGGGGGGAAGGGGGTGGCGCAGAGGACGGGAGCGGTGGCAGGTCGGGGGGTAACGTCGGAAGCAGCGACCCGGGGATGGCGGAAATAAAGTCTGTCGGGGTGGACGGGTGGGGTATGGCGAAGCGGGCGTTTCAGCGAGGAGTTGCGAAATTAAAAACAACAGCAGCGGCGGCGGCGGCTGCGGCGGTAAACCTCGACGGCCCTCCGCGGCGCCGCCCTGACGTGCACTCCGCGGCGGTGCAGGAATTCTCGCATTTCCTCAAAGACTCGCACCGGAGATTAATCTCCTCTGCCGGGCTCCCCGCGTCGCGGATAGTCCACAGCTACCGCTACCTCATGAACGCGTTCTCGGCGCGTTTGACGGCGGCGGAAGCGGAGAAACTTAAAAAGCAGGCGTGGGTAGATCGGGTGGAGCGCAGCCAGATGGTGCGCGCGGCGACGACCCACACGCCCGACTTCCTCAACCTGCCCAACAAAGTCTGGTCGCAGCTGGGCGGGGAGAGCCGCGCGGGGGAAAATGTGATCATAGGCCTAATTGACTCGGGTATTTGGCCGGAGCACCCGGCGTTTTCGGACAAGGTGAACTTTCCTTCCCCGCACACCTCGCACCCAGCGTTTTTGGCAGGGGAACTCTTAGTTTGTCCGTTTCCGCTCCACCTCGCACCCCCCTTAGGTCTATTATTTCTCTTTCGTGGACGTTAACTTTCCTAGTCATCGTTTTTGCGCTAATTGTATGCGTCCACCTGTCCGCGCAGACCAGCATCCCGTACGGCCCGCCGCCCAGCCGGTGGCGCGGGGGTTGCAACACGACGGCGGACTTTCCGCGGTGCTCACAGAAGATCATCGGCGCGCAGTGGTTCGTGGCGGGGCTGAAGGCGGAGGGCGGGCGCATCGACCCGAGCATCGAGTTCCTCTCGCCCCGCGACGCCAACAGCCACGGCAGCTGGTGCGCCGGGTGAGTAAAAAGTCAATTTGGGTCAACGCAAGTCAATGCAGATCAACGAAACTCAAGACAAAAATAAAGATGCATAATGCCGTGCAGCACAGCTTCCCGCATTCCAACCATCGCCCCTCTTCATCATTATCCCTCGCCCAACCTCCCCTTCCCACCCTCCCCGCGCAGAGCGGCTGCGGGCAACGCCGTGCGCGTCAAGTCGGGCGCGCAGCCCCTGGGCACGGCGCGCGGCATGGCGCCGCGCGCGCGGCTGGCAATATACAAGGCGCTGTGGTTCGACGGGCAGGTGGCGATGGGCAGCGAGGCTGACGTGTACAAGGCCGTGGATCGCGCCGTGGCTGACGGCGTGGATCTTCTCTCCATGTCCGTCGCGTTCAGCGACGAAAACTACTTCAAACACCTCCCGCTCATGCGCGCCGCGCAGGTAAAGTCCCGCTAAAGCTCCTTTCGCGCCCCGCAGATAAAGTCAGTTTTCGTGGATAAAACTACTTCATTCGGCAATCTCAAGAGCCCGCCAGCCGCGCACGCGCGGTCCCTGCACCACCTTCCATTCCCTCACTCCCCTGCTCCCTCCCACTCCCTCTCGTGCCCTCTTTCCTTACCCTCCCTCCTGACTGTGTGTGCTCACGGCAGGCGGGCGTGCTACCAGTGCTGGTGGCCGGCAATCTCAAGGCGCCGCCGGACAGCGACGACGGACAGTACCGCACCATCCGCAACGCGTCGCCCTACTATCTCACCGTCGCTGCCAGGTGCGCCGCTTTCCCCGTTTTGGGTGTGGTGTGGTGTGGAATGGTGTGGTGTGGTGTGGTGCGGGGTGGTGTGATGAGGTGTGGTTTGGTGTGGTTACGGCAGTTGTCCCCTCCACTCGCCTGCCGCCCCCTCCCTCGCCACGCTGTGGGTGTGCTGTGGTGTCTCTCGCCGCCCTCTCCTCCAGTGCCGTGGTGACTTTTCTCGCCACAGCCCTCGCCTGTCCCCCCTCCCTCCCTCCTCGTAATTTTTTTCACTCGCCTAACCACCTCCCTCCCTCCCACCTTCCTCTCGCCTACCCTTTCCTCCCGAATTTCACCTCCCCTACTCTCCTCCGCCCACGCGCAGCACGACGGACAGAGCGTGGCCGCCGCAAGCCACGCTGAGGCTGCAGGACGGCGCAGCCACCACCGCCTCCGCCTGGACCGCGGGCGGGCGGAGAACCGCCACCGCGGATGACGACGGCGGGGGAGGGGGAGTGAGCGCGGAGGGGGTGACGGTGGTGGGGGTGACGTACCACGCGGGCACGGCGCACACCGTGAACCTCTCGCTCGTTGACGCCGCTACTGCCGCCGCCAGCAACGTGCCCCTCATGCAGGTTCGTGCCCCGCACACGATTGAAAATTCTCAGAAGTCACGCTGTGAACCTCTCGCGAGATGAGGTGATTGGCCAGCGACGCCTTTCTTATGCCGGTGGGGTGAGGACGTGACTCGCATGCAGCGAGCGTGACGCCTCTGCTGCGATGAGACTGCCATGACCATCACGCCTCCATGCCTGATCCGTGAAGCCTCTCACTCCCCCTACCCTTGTCATTCCCCACTGCCGTCTTCCCCCTTCCCCAGGCGCGCATGTGTCTGCCCGGATCACTCTCCCCGGCGCTCGTGGCGGGGCGGATGGTCCTGTGCGAGGCGGGCGGGACGACGCCCGAGGCCAAGGCGGGGGAGGTGCGGAGGGCGGGCGGGCGCGCGATCGTGATCGCGTCGGCGTCCGCCACGGCGGGCAGCGTGGGAGAGGGGTACGCGCTCGACCTGCCCTCGCTCGTGGTCAACCGCACCATGTCGCAGGCGCTGAGAAGCTTCCTCAACAGCTCTAGCAGGTGGGTGTGAGCGGTGGTGCACAGGGGTTCGCTTTTGTTTAATGAAAGGGTCCCTTGCAGTAGTCCTCTTACATCATCCGCGCTCATGTGACATGCTGCTGCTTAGGCCTTCCTTCTTCTCTTTCCCTCCTACAACCTCCTCTCTCAACTCACTTCTTGTTCTCTCCCCTCCTTGTCCCCTACCCCTCCTCCGCATGCCTTCCACCCTACCCTCCCCCACTCCTCCCCCTCCACCAGTCCCCGCGCCATGCTCTCCGCGCTCTCACCCCAGTCCAACCACGTCGCACCAGCCATGGCGCCATTCCCCTTGGCCGCTCTCTCATGACCGCCTTGTCCTCTCTTCCCCTTCCCCCATTCCCCCCACACAAACCCCCCCCCTCCCCCACCAGCCCCTGCGCGACACTCTCCTCGCTCTCCCTCCTGACCAACCAGGTCGCGCCAGTCATAGTGCCCTTCTCCTCCTTGCCCGCCCACTCATGACCACCTTGCCCTCTGTTCCCCCTTCTCCCCCCTCCACCACATCCCCCACCAGTCCCCGCGCGACCCTCTCCTCGCTCTCACTCCAGTCCAACCAGGTGGCGCCAGTGATGGCACCATTCTCCTCCACGGGCCCCATCGTCGACCCCTCTCTCCCTCCCGGCCACTCCCCTGAGGGCTTCACAAACGACATCTTAAAGCCCGACATCACCGGCCCGGGAGTCAACCTCCTCGGCCCCATGGCCTCTGGAAAACACGGGGAAGCAGCATACCAGCTGCTCTCAGGAACGTCTATGGCTGTGCCTCATCTGGTGGGGATCGCGGCGCTCATAATGCAGAAGTACCCGAGCTGGAGCCCAGCAGCAGTTAAATCGGCGATTATGACGACGGGCACGGTGTTCAACAATCGTAACGAGCCGATTCGGACAGCGTCGGGGCACCGAGCGACGCCGTGGAATTTCGGGTCAGGGCACGTGGTGGCGGTGAGGGCGATGGACCCGGGGCTGGTGTACAACGTGGGCGCCAAGGGCTACATGGCGTTCCTCTTTGGGATCAACTTCAACTCGGCGAGTAAATACTTCCAACACGAGCTTCAGCAGCAGCCACAGAAGGGGAGCAGGAGGGCGGTGTTCAAGGCGTACGATCTGAACCTGCCGAACATCTGCGTGTCGAATCTGGTGAAGCAAGTCACGGTGGTTCGGCGCGTGACGAACGTGGCTGGGCAGGCGTCAAAGTACCGAGTGCGGGTGGTGGCGCCTAAGAATGTCCGCGTGGTGGTGGCTCCGGGTGCGTTCACGATTGCGCCGGGTGCATCACAGGTGTTTTCGGTGACGTTCACGGTGGTGCAGGCGACAAGGGCGTTTTCGTTTGGCAGCCTCACGTGGGTGGATGGCACACACCGTGTGAGGTCGGTGCTGGCCGTGCAGCCCGTTCAGGCGTGAGAGGGTGGGAACACTTGTGGGACCTTTGGGTCAGCTCAAGTCTCCTCGTGGGTGGATGGCACACACTGTGCGTGTCTGCTGGACGTGCAGGCTGTTCAGGCGTGAGTGGGTGGGAACACTTGTTGGGGGGATTGAGGCAGTGCGGCAGTGCAGCCTGTTCAGGCATGAGCGGGAGCAACTGTGAGGGGGATTCGTGCAGTGAGGCTGGTTCAGCAGACGCGGCTGATTGAAGCAGAGCCGCGGGTTTCGCCATAGCTAGTGCAGCAAAAGGGGAGCGTGATGAATTTTGGAGTGATGGAGAGGTGAGGAAGCGTGAAGGTGCTCCGATGATTGGCAATTTGGCAGGCTCGAGCGGTTTTGGTGGCAGCTGCCAGGCTCGAGCGGTTTTGGTGCGACTCCCAGATGCTGTGGGCGATCGCTTGAAGCCAAGCGTGTGCAGTGGGAAGCATGGAGTGGGGGTGGGCAGAGGCGAAACTCAGCGAAGGCGGGCTTGAAGCACAGAGGACAGGCGAAACAAGTTTGCGAGGTTTGGAGAAATGGTTTGGTTCGATGACGAGGACGCTCTCGGGTTACAAGCTGAACCTTGGCGCACTCAAGCTGGTTGACTGTTTTGACCGAGCGCGCGAAGGACCTTTACGGGGGTAAGCGCGCGGATCCCCTTACCCCCCTTGGAGGGGAGACAGCGAAGAATACAGGCGGCGCTGGTTGGTGCACTCCGTGTTGCGCCGCTGAACATTGATGGGCACAAGTCGCACTGCGGCTCAACTCGCCGACTTCACATTTAATTCGTTTCGATACAGTTCAGGAAGCTAACTAGTGAGGGTTGCACAAATTTTCACCGCTACAGCACGTAGCGAGTACTGGTTAGGTAATAATTATTTGATGTAGGTTGCTAACCATGCTGTTTATGAAATAACCGTTCGGCCACACAAGCAACGCAACATCTTATTGGTTTCTGTTACGAGTGCAATTGAGCGAGCGAGCGAGAATTGCACTATCGAAGCAAAACAGTACAATGAGTGAATGAATGAGCGAACAATGTTACGAATAGTAAAAGATGAAGCATTACTGTGCACTCCTTACCGCATGTAAGGAAAAATCCTTTTCCTTACTTCGCGTCCCTGCTCAGCGCGTACAACACTGACAGCACCCCACAACATCCCGTTACCACTCGCGACATTCGCCTCGACACCCTTCCCGCCATTGTTCACGATGCGACCCAACCACACGGTTTGGTTGGTAACCCGCGCTCTGGACCTCCGCCTCGACAGTTCCCCAAACCTCGGCATTAGGCCCGTCGCGCACCCCAAATTCCCACGTTACTGTTACCACCATAGTTTCGCTATATATTCTTCGCTCATTCCTTCGCTCATTGTATCTTGTCTCGATAGTGCAATCCTCGCTCGCTCACTCAATTGCACTCGTAGCACTTGGTTATCAGAGCCTACGATCTTCTCTCGGACCGCACCCACACCTTCGCTTCCCCAATATCAATTTTTTTGGGGGGGGTATACGTTTCTCAGCGATCAAGCACCGCCGCTCGTAGTGCTCTCTCGTAAGCACGCACGGCCACGACAGAGGCTCTCGCTGAGCTTGCCCGACACCCCCGCCATGGCAGAACTCAACGTCGCGACACTGACACAGGAGCAATTAGATCGGCTCATGCGCCAACTCGAAGAATCGGCGCTTGAAATCGCCACACTCACGGCGGAACGCGACTCCGCTCGCCAACAATCGACAGTGAATGCACCACCGCCAACACACGCACCTGCACATTCGGAGGAGCCGATTGTCATCTCCTCCGGCACACCGACACAGAATGACAGCGTGGGACAACGCTCAGGCGCAGCCAGTGAAGGCGCCGTTCACTCGATGCCGGGCATGGAGAGAAACAGGACCGCACCAAGCCAACGGGAGCCCCGCGAGTCCCGTCGGCACGTGGAATTTGCGGCGACAGGTGGCGAATACGCCGCCACGGCACCAATGCCACTCAAGCCGCAGCGTCCGCCCTGTTTCGACCCGAGCCAGCGTGGGGGTCCGACGGTTCAGTCGTGGGTCTTTACGATGAACGTGTTTTTCGACGCCAACTACGTCGAGTCGGACGCAGCGAAGATTCGCTATGCTGTTTCGCTGCTGAGGGGCCCCGCCATGGACTGGTGGCGAGTCATCGTGACGTCGCCACGCGCCTACGAGCCACCGTCGCACGAAGACGGGCCCACGGGCCCAGCCGTCACCTGGAGTTCATTCTGCGAGACAGCCCAGTACAGCACGTGGGATGCGTGGTGCGCAGGGCTTCGGGCGCGTTTCGAGCCGATCGCGGCTTCGATTTCGGCGCGTCAGAAGCTGCGCACTTGGCGGCAGCTCGGGTCGGTTCAAGATTACACTAGCGGCTTTCTCGCACTATGCGAACAAGTCGGCTATATGCACGAAGCGGAGCGGGTGGACCGTTACGTCGGAGGGCTAAAGCCGGACATATCGCACGAAATTATGCTACGCGGGCTCTCGAATTTCAACGAGATCCTCGCGCTCGCCGAGAAAATCGACATCCTACGGCGACCGAGACCGGGGTCCTACTACGGACAACGTCCTCGGGGACCGACCGAGCACGCCACCGTACACGCTGTTGCGACGAATGCAGCTGCCGCACCATTTAAGGGGCGCTGTTTTGCTTGCAATAGGCCGGGCCATCGCAAAAGTGAATGTCTAAGGCGCCGTGGAACAGAGCAGGGGCGAGAGTCTCAGAGGCCGGGAAACGCCAGCAGTCAGTAGAAGTTGGGCCAGCTACTGACGAGACTGCCTGCTCGCCCAACTTCACCGACCCTCACCGAGTCACAGTACCGATTCACGCTATCGATCGGGCTCGGACGAATAAGGAGGGTACAGCGACGGATTGCCCAGTACTGATTCACGGGAAAATACAGGGAACAGCAGTGAAGATTTTTATAGATGGAGGTGCAAGTCACAGCTTAGTTAATACCGCGACTTCAAGGAAGCTGCAACAGACACTTAGTCGGTGCTTACCAGAGATCGATGCACGCTTAGTTGACGGAACGCCGCTGGCCATACGGGAGAAAGTGGAAAGAGTAAAAGTCCGCTGTGGGGGGAATTTCGGGTTTACACAGGAAATGCTCGCGACGACATTGGATGGGCACGACATTTTACTGGGACGTGATTGGTGTGAGAATAATAGGAATGAGTGAGAAAGGATGAGATGGAATGATTGCACTAGAAAGCAATTGAGTACATATAGGAAACCCTAACAGGGTTGTACTCACTATTGAGTACCCCACTGCAGACTAGAGAAACATGATATTCTGACACACCCCCATAGTCAAAGTGGGGTATGATCAGCACAAGAAGCAAAGCAAAGCAAGCTCAGGGTGGATCACAATGTCACCACACATTCTGAGCACAAGTACAAGAAGCAACAGTTTATAATTCACAGTAAATAAGTAAAGCTAGAGGCTATCACAGAGGGCAAGTGAGGAGGAGGAGGCTGGACTAATAGGAGAGGAGAGAGGAGGCAACGGCGGAAGCTGCAGACACACGGGCAACAGGAGCGGCGCGCACTGTGGCTACCGGAGGCGCACCTCCGGACTACAGGAGTAACTGGCTCCGCGGCTAAGACGAGCGGCAGGAGCAACGGACCCACGGGCGACTGGCGCAGCGGCATCACTGGGCTACCGGAAGCGCACCTCCGGACTACTGGCACTGCTAGCAACACGACGGCTACCTCCACCCAACCTCCCTCTACTGCCGCACCCCCCATTCACACACCCCCTGCTGCACCCCTAGGTTCACTCACACCCCACCCCCTAGCACCACGCCTTTGGCTCCCACACATCCACCCCCCTCAGCGGCAGCTGCAGCAGTGGGAGACAAAGGAGGAGGAGGGGAAGGGAAACATACCACCCATCACCCCATACCCGCCACCCCCATACCCTCCGTTCCACGGCTGCACGCGCAGCAGGGAGACGAAGAAGGGGGGGGGGGGGGGGGGGGAAGAGCAGCAACGGGCAGCAACGGGCGGCAATGGGCAGCACAGGGAGGCGGCGGCACCGGGTCCAGGGGCGGCGGCGCGGGGTCCAGGGGCGGCTGCTCCAGGGGCCAGGGGCGGCTGCTGAGGTCCAGGGGCTGCTGCACCAGGGGCGGCTGCTCCAGGGGCGGCTGCACCAGGGGCGGCTGCTCCAGGGGCGGCTGCAGAGGTCCAGGGGCGGCTGCACCAGGGGCGGCTGCTCCAGGGCCGGCTGCACCAGGGGCGGCTGCTCCAGGGGCGGCTGCACCAGGGGCGGCTGCACCAGGGGCGGCTGCTCCAGGGGCGGCTGCAGAGGTCCAGGGGTGGCTGCACCAGGGGCGGCTGCTCCGACGCGCGGCCCCCCCCCCCCCAGGTCGCCCCTCCCGTCCCCTGTTGAGGCGACCTGAGGGGGGGGGGGGGGGGAGGAGTACGGGGGCCGACGCGCGGCCTCCCAGGGCGCTAGAGCAGGCGGAAGAAGGGGCGACGCGCGCCCCCCCAGGTCGCGCCCCCCCCCCCCCCCCGCTCGCCACGCAAGGCGACGGGAAAAGGGGGGGGGGGGCGGTGCACGGGCCCCTGGTGCGCCACGACCGGCATGAGGAGGGCGGGGCCTGGGTAGGGTCGGGGCATGGCAGGGGCAGGGCCGCGATAGGGCCGCGACAGGGTCGGGGCAGGGCCGCAACAGGGGGCCGCGACGGTGGGCCGCGACGGGGGGGGCCTGCGACGGGGGGGCCGCGACGGGGGGGGCTGCGACGGTGGGCCGCGACGGGGGGCCGCGACGGGGGGCCGCGACGATGGGCCGCGACGGGGGGCCGCGAAGGGGCCTTACGAGGGGCCGCGAAGGGCCTTACGAGGGGCCGCGAAGGGGCCTTACAAGGGGGGGCGCGAAGGGGCCTAACGAGGGGCCGCGAAGGGGCCTTACGAGGGGGCCGCGAAGGGGCCTAACGAGGGGCCGCGAAGGGGGCCGTACGAGGGGCCGCGAAGGGCC